GGGTCGTGTGTCGCCGGACAGTGACCGATTGCTCCCTGCAGAGGCAGCGGTTCCTGGGGTGGGGGTCAGCCCGTCACGGACCAGGACCTCTGTTCCGGGACCCGTCGTTGTCTCGACCTCCCTGGCCGGGATTTCCCTTGGGAGCGCCGGGCAGAGCCCGACCGCGGGTTCCCGTGTCCGTGACGTGGCAGAGGCCGGGGAGGGGAGGGGTGAGCGTGTCCGCGGGCGCTGGCCGGGGCGCGGGCGGCCGGGCAGCGCTGTCGTGCCGCCTCCCCCAGGGCACCCCCAGCCCCTCGCCCGCCGCCTGCCCGCAGAGAAGCGGACGTCTGCGGGCACCCGTCGTGCTTGTGCCCCACAGCCCGAGACCCGCTGCCTGGGCCGGGCAGTCTCAGAATTTTGCTCTCTTTTTCTGATTTAACTGAAATAATTCGAACCTCCCACGGGTTCCTGGCACGGGGGACGTGGGTGTGTATCTGCTGGGCGGGCAGCCTCGTAGCGCGAGTGCTGCTGCTGGGCTCTCCGGTCTTTTCCATATTCTGTGAATATGCTGATCCTCTTGAGCGCTTTTAGAAGGGATTTATTGTGCTCGGTGAATGCATGTGATCTGTAACTCGTGTTAAATTATCATATGCGAGTAGCTGCTGAGGAATATCATAAAGTTAATGTGTTGCACACTAATTATAACTTTGGTTTCCTAATGCAATGTGTCTGCTTTGTGTAGCTGAACGTTTCTTTAAATGGCTTTTGCTTAGTCACATCGAAGATTGCTTAATCCTGCTTTATGTATCGATAGCCTCCTGGTAATTAAGCGGTAACTGTTTTGCACTTGATCAACCCTGATAATTCCTGTTTTAGTTAGCTCCTTTTGAGCAAAGCCATTTAGCTGTTTTATTAGCCCTCGACGCGTGTTTCACATGGAATTTTCATATTCCGGGCTGCCTTTCGCAGTCACCGCTTATGTAACACGTCACGCGGCCGGGGGTGACTTTGGCCGGTGGGATTGTGTTCACATGGATGAAAGTCTGAACTTATGCTCTGAAATTCTGTTGATGTTTCTCCTCTACTTTGTTCCCGTTGAGAAAATTGTGCAGCAGTATCTGACCTGCGCTTTCTTGGTTCTTCAATGCTTGAAAATCCCCTGAGACACGGGTGCCGAGGTCAGCCCGGGCAGGGCGGGCTGCTGGGCTCTGGGGAGCGGGGCTGCGGGTCAGAGCTGGGGGGAGCCCCCGGAGCCCCCGCCCGGGGCTGCCCCTGTGCCCACCCTGCCTCGGGCAGAGCCCTCCGCCGCCGCCCCGCCTGCCCTGAGCTGCTCAGGGTGCATCCCCCTTGTGGAACGCACGGCAGACAGGCTTTTTAAAAATTTACTCCAATGGAGGGGATGCATTTCCTTTTTTGTGTCTGTTCCCTTACAATACGTTTTTGTGCTAAAGGCTGCAATGAAAGCGTAAGCCCTAGTAATTAATGATGTAGTTTAATAGGGAAGGTCATGTGCTTTTAATAAACTGCTACTCTGAAAAATTGCTTTTATAATTAACAGTAAAGTATTTTTGGAATATTTTGGAAGAAAAAGGCCACGTACTTATTGATTCGCCCATCGGCACTGCGGCTCCTCGTTCGCACGTAGATGCCACTGTCTGCGGGAGGTGTTGGCATGGAAACTTCAGGGTGCAGCTCCCCGCACAGTGTGCGAGTCCTCTAGGAAGTTGTCACCTCTGTCTCTGCATAAAATGTGCATCAAAATGAAACGGAGGATTTCCACGTGGTCTCCAGAGTGATCTGTGGGGGATGTCACAGATACTCCATGTACTAGCAGCTTCAGCCAGACCGACTTGTGACATTATTTTGCTGTCACTTAGTACTGGGCAGCAGCACAAAAATCTTCCCAGATTGGATTCTTAGAATTCGTGTGCGTATTTAAGCTTTGAGCTCTGCTGTTTTACCAGCATCGCTAATCTGGAAACGGACTTTTGCGTGGAGTTCTCGTGGCACACGGCAGCGCTCGGCTGCCTGCAGCTGCGAGGTGAGCACCGTGGCGTCCCGTGACAGCCTGGCTGTATAAATAGCCGCCTTCATCCCGCGGAGGCAGCTTTGGCGACGCGGTGTGTGATGTGACGAGCGGTGAAAGCTGCTCCCCCCCTTTTTCACAGTGTCTCTGTCGCTCAGACTTGCCTCCGTCCTTCGCAGCGCTGTGTTTTGCTGCAGTGGTGCTCAAGCCGTTTTTCTTCCGCAGTCACTTAGCTGTCCTTACGCATATCCTCGTTTGAGCAGTTCCTTTGTGGTTAATTTAAATTAAAACTGAAAACAAGAGGCTTGTGCCTGTTCATCTTGCAGAACCTGAACGGTCTGAAGTACGTTATTCCTCTTGACTGGTCCCTGTGTTGCGTGTGTCATCCTTCAGAGACAGCTCAGCCGCGCAACAACCACCAACCTGACATTTACTGGGTCATTTCGGAGAGCCTGATACATGAGGTTCTCCTACAAGCCTGCGTGAAACAATGTAAAGGAGCGTGTTCAGCTCCTGAAGGGGGAATAGCTGCCTTTGTGGAGGGACAAGCTCCGGAGATTGCCTAAAGCAGCCTTGCTATTACTTTATTTTTCTGCTCTCTAATGCCCACCATTCTCTATGTGACTTTCTGTCGTTTTCTCTCTGCCTATTTTGTTTGACTTTCTTCCATTTTCCCCAGGCAATCCTTTCAGTCTTCAGTTTAGTCATCTTGGTCTCAGAGTATAGCCCAATCTTTAAGGTTTTAGCGTTAAGATTAACCCCTCGGTGTTGGCATATCCTTAGTAGCAGCTTTGCTTTTACTCTATTTTTGGACAGAGTTGATATTTATTGGAAAGGGTTTATGACCTTTTTAAATTTCCAAACGTGAAGAGGGTAAGATCAGCGAATAAATGAAGCGTCTCTAGTTCTACATCCAGTCCAGCTTTTCACCTCTTGCCAAGTTTTCCCGGCGCGCGACCCCCTGAGCAGAGCCAACAACCAGACGCGTTGCCCGAGTGAAATACGCGTGTGTTGATCTCCCCGTGGAACAGCTCGCCCGGTTCCGGCGCGGCACGATAGGCCTGGCTCTGACAGCGAGATGGATGGACCGCTTCAGTGGTAAAACATTTTTTAATGGTGAGAAACCATCTTGTCTACAAACAATAAAGTGATTTGTAGTAACAAATGGAAAATATTTTTCTTGCTGGAGATTACACCATTTGTTTTCATTTTCCGTGACATGTTTTGCTCATTATGCTGCAGGAAGCAAATCCAAAGTTTTATAAAGAACAGCTCATGATGGCAAAACAGGGAATTGAGCTGGGGGCTCGCTGTCATAACAACAGAGCACGTCAGACCCGGGGGAGCTGCGGCGCTCCTGCCAGTTCCGTGTTTGGGAAGGAATCGGGGACGGGGGTGCTGCTCACCCCACCCACGCCAGCGGAGTTACGGTGCCGGTTGTGTAACTCAGGGGGGCGCGAGGACTGCCCTGCGCCGCCCTCCCGGCGCGTCTCTCTGGGCGTCATTTTAAAATAAATGACAGCGTTCAAGGCGTGTGGGGAATGGGCTTCCTTGGGAGCTCAGGGCTCGCTCCAAGCCCTGGGTGCGCTGCCTGTGTCCCTGGGGGGCGGGGGCAGCTCGCTCTTCGTCTGCTGGGGGGCTTGGGGAGCTTTTGAGTCAGTTTGGGTTGATTTGTGGATGGCACAGCCCCCTGAAGAGAGGGCTGACAGGTGGTCTTGGTTTGACTTTTAAATCCTTTCCAGCTTTGCTTGGAGAGAAGAGGGTGCAATCGGAAGCGGGTTTGCGGTGGCGGTGGCCGAGGTGATGTTTGGGGACGGGCGTTAGGTGTGTGCCTGCCCTTGACTTGCCAGACGGGAGGGGAAGTACAAACTTACCAAAACGTGGAACCGGCTTTGCAGCAGTGACACGTAGTTGGGAAGACTTGGTTAGTGGTGGGAGGGTTCATTGGGTTTTGGTGGGTTTAGTATTTGGGTTTTTGTCCAAATTCGACACCCGTGTAAGGACAATAATCTCAGTTTAAGGCGTAGGGGAACTTTGCATCAAGCCTGATGTGGGTCCGCGCCCTGTTTCCTTCTCGGGCCCTTCGAGGTGGTCTCTCCAGCACCTGGCCTCGGCGGGCCTCTGTCAGAGTCACTCCTGCGGCAGGTTTACACGTCTCGTAACCGCTGCCGACGTCGTTTCAAAGGAGCACTTGTCTGTGCCAGCTTGTGTTCCCACCGCTGTGGTACACCAGCCTGCGCCGTCTCCTCCACTGGGTTTTGAAGACAGAGACTGAGTTTTTTTCCCTAAAGCCCTGAGTGTTCTGCTGTAGTACGTAACTTAAATTTATCAAGGTCACTGAACCCTATTTAATGTGCTTTCTGGGAAGATGACAGGGTACAAAAGATTGGTTTGTACCCTTCTGTCAGAAGGATGAAACAATAATACAAGAGCTCAGTTATTTGTGTGCTGAAGGGGCTGCAGTTATCTAGTGACATGACAGATTCGCTAATGATACCTGACAGAAATATTGCAAAGGAATAATTGTAAAAAAAAGCTCTTCTATCATGTAGTGTCTTTAAAAAGAAAATATTTTCTTTTTATAATGCCAAGAATGCAGATTCCCACGTGGCAAAATACTGAGTTCAGGTGCCCAGCAGTAGGTATAAATTGAATGGCAAGTATTACCGCTGTATTTTGAAGCAGTTTCCTGTCTGTAGAGGCTTTTAGCTTTGGTAATAGATTCTGTATTTTAAGACTTCTTATTGATTTCCAAACAATTACAGAATATTGTCATGGTCTTGCTTGGGAGATGCTGGGGTTGGATGGTTGTTGCTCAGCTGTGCTTAAAATCACGGTCCCGGTTCAGGTCGGCAGGGGGTCAGGCTTTGTAGCATGGAGTGACTTTTTTCTTTTTTTCTGAGGGATTTATAGCAGTGAAATGCAGTTCACCTTGTGAGATCCTGCTTAATTTTTAAAGTTATTCCTGTTTGCTTTTTTTAAGGAAAAGTCATCAACAAAGACTTGCGCCACTACCTGAGCCTTCAGTTCCAGAAGGGCTCGATAGACCATAAACTCCAGCAAGTGATCAGAGACAATCTCTACTTGAGAACCATCCCTTGTAAGTATGTAAAGACCAGCCTCACTCGATCCGTTCCTGCTAACTGTCACATAATTCGAGAGCTTTAACTGCCTTCTCTCTTAATCTGGTTCATAGTTTTACCTTGCAGCAGGAACGTCTGTAGATGGCTTTGCTGGAATAGTCCCACAGCTTAAGTTGCAACGGAAAGGTACAGCCAGTGTGGACTGACAGAACAGCAAAAACTGCAGAATTCAAAGCTCAGAGTGTTTCAGCAATATCTGTGTTTTACTCTTTGGAAGTTTGACGGTTGCCGTTAGAATAACCACAGCCACCGTGGGAAATAAATCTTCCTCGGCACTATCAGGCAGTGCAAACACGTCCTGGTTTCTGTCGGTGTTTTGGGTTTTGCACAGAGGAAACTGCGACCTGGAGGGGTGACGTGCAGTAGCAGAGCAGCGATGCGGGAGGAGTCACACCAAGGAGGGCTTGCACCAGGAGGGGTTGCACCAACAGAAAGTTGTGGGAAAGGAGGTGGTGGCAAGAGGGGGGGTGAGCCCATGGCCCGAGAGGAGGAGGAGGGGGGAACAGCGCATGGACAAACCGTAGTGTCACAGCCAGGATTCATTCGTGCGAGGATCTGGATGGACCTGGCTCATCTGAGCATCTGCTGGCACCTCCTGGGCCAGCAGCACAGGTCCTGGTTGCCTGTAGCAGGTGCCCGCAGGCTCCTGCTCCCGCCAGCAGACGTCGGTAGAAAGCGCCGTGCAGGGGCCAGACACCCTGTCGCTGCTGCTCGCCCTCCTCTGCCCTTTCTTCATTATCACAACATCCGTTACCTTGCCGCAAAGGTTCACTGATTAAAAAGGCTCATCGCCAACTGCATTTAAAAATTCATTGCACTAAAAAATTTGTCAGCTAACATTTTTGTAACTACAGGAACTCAATTTAGTGTCGTTATCATACGGAGCGTGCCCAGGAGTTTGTGACTTTCTTAAAAGAGTGAATGCAGTTTATTTACTAACAGCCCTTGTTGATGCTGCTGCCTGAAAAAATTGACATATGCCTTTAAAATGTTATTAGGTTATAGGCAGTAATGAGTCAGTGGAGCCCTTTCCAGGGGAGCTTTAATTAAGCTATTGTAGCTGTGGGGGGCCAGTATTTATAGACACAACACTTGGAGAACTTCTACATGAACACAGCCGTTCGCCGATTACTTTGAAAAAGCTTTGCTACAGCCGGGGCTCGGGGAACAGCTGAATTACACTCTGAATTGTAACATTCAAAAATAGTTTCTGTGCCCAGTTACTAATTTGGTGGCCCAGAAATCAAACATGGTAATTTGGTGGCCCAGAAATCAAATTTGGTGGCCCAGAAATCAATACCAGAGCTGTCATTCCTGCATAATTTACTGGTCTAGTTTTTGTACATTATCGTTCACTTGCTCACCGGTGTTCTAACTCTTATCTTACTGGAGTGACATCATCATCATATAGATTGAAAAATATAATGTTTATACTGAATTGTACAGCAGGCAGCTTGTGGTAAACACACAGCACTTGAGTATCTGACAAGAATGTTCTCTCTGTCTTTTCAGGCACTACAAGGGCTCCCAGAGATGGGGAGGTCCCTGGGGTAGACTATAATTTCATTCCTGTTGAGCAGTTCAAAGCACTGGAAGAAAGTGGAGCCTTGCTAGAAAGCGGAACATACGATGGTACGTGGGTGACGTTTAGTGGCGTGGGAGGACGGACCCAGCCCTGGGGCCCAGCTCTCGGTCCGGGTGTACCCAGGAGGTGCCACCGTCCCGTCCCCGGGACTCCCCGGGCAGAGCAGTGGCCTCGTTTCGAAGCTCTCCAGTAAATCACAGGTTGTCCTTTCAACCAGTCCTGGCGCAGTCGGATTATTTTTCCTATTGTGTTTTTGAGGAAACAATTCTGAAAATGTTCGTCCGTGCTGGATGCAGTTTTGTGTGACAGAATTGAGTCGGTTTTGTTTAAACCCTTGAGAACAGCCACGCGTTCCTCAGAGGCACATCAGGGTGCAGAAAGCAAGGGGAGGTCGGATACAGCAGGGAAACGAAGGTGCTTTGCCAGGCAGAACTGAACCGTGCTGGGCCAGGTTGTCCAGGTCTGGAGCGAAGCTGGTTTGGCTGACTGGGGTGGCGAAGCCTCGTGATGAGGGTAGTGAGCTCTCGGGAGCTGCCGCCTGCCGTGGGCCTCGGCTTTGCTGTGCAGGGCTGGGTGCGGGCAGAGAAACTTCCCATCCCTGTGCTCCGGGGGGGACGGGCCGAACCCCACCTTCGTTTAAAGTGAGAGGGAGGGGAGAGCCCCGGGCGGGCTCTGGTTTCTGCTGCTTTTTCCCATCGACATCCTCCCTCTCGGCGCCCTGAGCAGAATAAGCTGCCAACATCTCGTGTTGCTTTTTGTATCGAAGTTTATAAATCCTGAAACATGATCTGGCTAGATTTTTTTTTTTTTTTCAAATACATAGTTGTACTTGAAGTCAACTAAATTACAGCCGAATTTTCAGAAGTGCTGAGCCATGTGCAGCTTTCACTGATGCTCGGCAGAATTTACCGGGTTATCAACCTGCCTGATTTTTAGGTATGTTTAACTTCTACTGGATTCAGGTGACTTTCAGAGTGCATCTAGAGGACTCCCTTGGTGGGTGGGGGTATTACTGGCGCTTGAATAAACGTGATTCACACCCCAACACCCCCCACCCGCCCCCAAAAAAGAAAACGTCCAAAGTAGAAAACTGCAAGGCTCTGCACCCCCTTGTTTTACGTGTCTCATGCTGTCGGTGGAAATCTCCTAAGCAAATCTCAACTAAACTAGCTCTCTTTTTGTCCCCCCTCAGCCCCCCTTTATCTGGCTGTCACCACTTTGAGCCTCGCTCTAACTGATATTTTCAGAAGGGTTTCTTATTTATTTTTTTTACATTGTTAAAACCACGTCCAGCCACCAAACGTTACCCCAGCAGGAATTCTGGGAAGCTCTCTTGCTGTGTGCTCAATTCCCTAATAAAAATCATATGAGCAGTCAGGAGAGAGGTCAATTGCTGAAATCCTTTTCCAGAAAACAACAGATGATTCCTAGTCATTGTGTTTTAGATTAAAATATTGAAGCAAAAATCTGTTCATTTTTCTCAAGCACAAATAATTTTTAGATGAAGCTGTCTTAACAGCTTTGTTTAGCAAGTGTGTTTTCAGTAGAAGATTGTAGGGCTGTGGTTTTAAAATGGATTAATTGTAACTGGGTTTATGTAAATAGATACTTTATGTTTCTGCACAACATTAATTTGCTTTCTGACTTCAGCGTGTTTCTGTTGCTGCACTTTACTCTGTTAATCGGAATGTGGAGTAAGAACAATTGATTCCCACTGTTCTGCTGCTCTCGGAATGTTCCCCAAGTCTCTCCGTGGAGCATTAGTGAATTCCAGGCAAAGTCACAAATCCATCTTTTCCTTTGGAAACGGGTCCGTGTAGACATTCTGAATTAAACCTACTGTTTTCTGATACGCAGCAGCATCACTGCCGAAAAGGCAATGTAGGAATTAACTGGCTTTGTCTCTCGATTGGGTTTTGATGGTGCGGATGTCTTCTTTACGAAGTTAAGTTACAGTGCAGGGCTTTCACCAAAACCATCTGTCACGGGCCGTAAAACGTTGAGGGCCACCGCCAGTGCTTCCAGCCAGCCCCGGCGCTGCGGTGACCCTGGGTTTGTCTCCTTGCCAGGTAATTTTTACGGCACTCCGAAGCCTCCAGCGGAGCCCAGCCCCTTTCAGCCTGATCCAGTGGATCAAGTTCTTTTTGACAATGATTTTGATACCGAATCGCAGAGGAAAAGAACCACGTCTGTCAGCAAAATGCAAAGGATGGACAGTTCTCTCCCGGAAGAGGAGGAAGAGGAGGAAAAGGAAGCAGTTAATGGCAGCGGAGGGATAGGTTGGTTGACAAGGGGTGAAATCCCCTGCAGTGCTGTTCGAATGCATAAGACGTATACAAATAACATCCGTGCTTGCTTGAACTGCTTCCCTAGTCTTGGTGGAGTTTGAAGGCAGTTTTCTATTCAGACTGGTGTTTTTACTCCATTTTTAAATTATCTTTTAAAGGGAAACAGCTGTTCTCCCAGCCAGATGTGCAATTGCATCATAAAATGCACTGCTCATAGAGGACATGCAGTGCTGGGTACCGGCCAGTTACACGAGGAGGAAGGAAAAAAGTATCCACTCTTCAAATTGCGGAATCCTTTGCAGAGCAGAATTCATACCCTGTGAAGGTGGTGGTTTAGTTTTGAGGAGATCACTGAATTTGCATGCCAGAGATTTTAGTGAAGTGGTTGATTTAAGGGGCAGCACTAGCTCGGGCTGTAAAATTCTCAGGTGGTTTTGGCTGAGGGAGCTGTGGCGCAGCCTGGAGGGGAGCCTGTGGCGAGGGGCAGAGCACACTGAGACCGGACCAGTGTCCGGTCGGGGCGATCGGAGAGCGGCAGGACGCCCTTGCGCTGCCACGGCCGCTCGTCTCGAGGGGGAGGAACTGGTGGTGCAGAGAAACTGTCACGTTGCGTTTGCAGATGTCCCCCCGTGTGAGCGTGTAGGACGGGCTCGTGTTGACCGCAGCTGGCCCAACCCTGGGAGCTGCGGGGCTGGCGAGGGCCCGGGGGGTGGCTGGGAGGGCGGGGCCGTCCTCGAGGGACAGGACCCCGAGCACAACCCCGGGGCTGCGGGGTCGGGCTTTGCATTCCAAGTTCTCTGCAGGGATTTTGGGGAGCTGCTTCTTGTGGCTTGTGGGAGGGGGTTGGTTGTTTTATTGGCCGTTTGGGTCTTTTCTGTTTCATTCTGGTGCTTTGGGGAATATTAGGATTTGGGGGGGTTTTTTGGATGGCTTTTCAAACGCTGTTCTCTGTGTAGGAACTGCAGCAGTGTAGTCAATTTGGATTTCTGCTAGCGTTGATTTTTCAGAGTAGGCTCAGACACATAATACAAGGTTAATTCTGTTTGTCGGGGAAGAGCAGAGTTCAGTGATTTCATGTCAGCTTTTCAAAGTTCACAGCTTAAAAAAAATAAAAAAAGTGGAAAAATGCACATCACATACAGGGACGTGCTTGACATCCACTCGTAGCCAGATTGAGAGGGTGGTTCTTTGTGAGAAACACCATAAACATCTGACAAATAGTAACACTTTCCCTGAACAACTGCAGAAAACAAAGAAAAACATTCAGATTCTCCTGACTGGATGAAACCTGTTCCCAGCTACAACCAGAGCAGCAGCTCCATGGACTTCAGAAATTACTTGTCGAGGGATGAAACCCTGGAACCGCTGCCCAAGAACTGGGAGATGGCCTACACTGACACCGGCATGATCTACTTCATCGAGTGAGTGGGTGCCCTCGGGGGGGCTGGGGAGCTGCGGGCTGCTCCTGCACCTCTCTGCTTCTGCCCTTGCTGCTTCTCTTTCTCTGTGACATTTATCATGCTCCGACCGTCACGTTCCCTGCCGACAGTCTGTGTTGCACGCTTGGGGCAGTCGCTGTCGGGCAGGAAACCCTCATGGCTCCGTGGGCCAAGTCGGTTTGTCTGTGACGTGTGTTTTGCGTCCCAGAAAATACAAAGCTGGCTGGGAATTGCTGGGTGAGGTATAACATGGTGTAAACCTTCGCTGTGTCAAATTGCTCTGAAATCTGAAAGCTTGTTTATCCTTTCGTGGCTGCCCGTGCTCCTTGGCTGGGAACGCATGCTTTAACATACAAACAGCGTGGAGTAGCTCATATGTGCACATGTGAAACAGCCTCAGTGAGGAGTTCTAAGGCAAAAGTGACACAGAAACCTTGCTGAGAGTTGAGCAGAAGAGGAGGCTAAAAATATTTTTCCCTTTCAGGTAGAAACAGCTGCTGTTCCCACATGAGTTCTCGGGGGCAGGGGAGAGTGTTTGTACCTCTGACATTTCACAGCTGTCCTGGAGAGTCTCCAGTGTGCTGCTGCCTCTGAGCATCATTGTTGCCTTTCCTTTTAGCATTTTATGATGTGACTGAGGCACAAATCAAGGTTATATTCTCTAAAGACTACAGTTTGCCCATGGCAGTAAATATTTCACAGTTAAAGTTTCTTCAGTCTGGGGAGTTCTTTTAATGGCGTGTGTTCTGCTCCACAGCCATAACACCAAGACAACCACGTGGCTTGATCCACGGCTCTGTAAGAAAGCCAAAGCTCCTGAAGACTGCGAGGATGGAGGTGAGATGTTCAGAATCCATTGGTCACCTGTGACAGGCAGATGCCCGAGTTTGTCCCAGCTGGGTCCGTTCCGTCACTGCGGCGGTGGAAGCTGCAGGTGGCTCTGGGCGGGCAGGGTCCCGCTGGGTGTCCCTGGTTTGGCGGCCACAGGTGTTTATGTAAGGCTGGGAAAGTCCGTGGTGTATTTTCCCTTGAGTAGCAGAATCTGACCGAATCGTGAGTTCATCTGCATTCCTGAGAAGAGAATGAGATATTTTGTTCCAGCAACTGTCATTGCTAAGGAGAGAGCTGCATGTGTTAACGACAGTGGAAATTGTTACACAGGTGGAATATGGCAGGAGGAAAAGGTCCATCAGTGTTAGGATGTAGGAATGCTGAAGAGGAAACGGCGTAATGCCTATTGCTAGTGAGATCTGTTGTGTGTGACGTGATACAATACTTAAATGTGTAAGTAGAGGGAACAACCTGACTCCCTTCAGCTCTTCACACGATTCCTGCAACCATTTCTTACGTGGTCCCACACTATAGTCAGCTAGAAAAGAGCATCAGAGCGCTCTGTCTCGGCAGATGCCTGCCGCTACAAAAGCTGAGGCAGACTCAGAATAGCCTGTTGTCTTCCCAAATTGCCCAGCCTAACAACCGTGTGTTCACAATGAAGCCAGCTGGAGCGGTGCATGCGTACTGCTGCTTGTTAAACATATGTGCAGCTCACCCCGGGATAAAAAGCACACTTAAACAGGGAGATACAGGATATCCAAACGAACAGCGTTTAAACGAATAGACCCGCTGGGCCTTTTGTCAAACCCTGTGGAGTGGTGCTGGTATTAATAATTGGTAACATGCTGCCATGTACTGGGAAAATTCCTGTTACCATCAAACGCAGGGCAGCCTCAAACAGGGTTACATTCCAGTTCTGTCCTTAAAATGTCTCGCTACCTGACTGCATTTGTTAATCTAATATTTAAGCTTCCGTGGTCGAGGTAACTAGAACAGTAAAGCTAGAATAATTGGGCCTCGTGTTAACTTTAGCACCTCCAGGCAGTAATGACCTGCTGCTGGGTTCCATCTTACCAGGTTCTGATTTGCCATAAAAAGGAGTTTGCACCTGTACCTTTCAGTGCCTGTATCAGTGGTTTTTTCTTTCAGACCCCCAACGCGGGATGTCCAAGGCAGCCCGGGGGAGCCCCGAGTCCCTGCGGGCCTCATGGCAGGGTCTGTGCGGGAGCTGAGCTGTGCTGGCTCGCGGGGGGGTCTCACCGTGTTGTAAGCATCAGGGCGAAGCAGCCCGCCATGCCGCGGGCTCTTGCCTGTCCCACGGGCTGTTACAGATCTGGCCGAAGGTTTCTTGGGCCCACGGAAAACTGAAACAGAACGGAACATCGCTCAGATACCCCGAGGTCACCGAGAGAGCAGGTGAAGGTGGCATCGCTGCTGCCAGGTGGCCTTGGACGGGAAGGCGAGAGGAATGGAGAGCTCTGCCCCGAGCCGGGCGGGGCGGCTGCGAGGCGTTCACGGCTCCCGCGTTCTGGGGCAGCGCAGCGTGACCGCATCCGCACTGTGTAGCTGAGAAACCCAACGGCTATCGAATCACATTCATAATTTATAACTAGATTCATTTTAAATAATGGGGTTTTTTTTCCCCTTTATAGGTTGTTCCTCTCTCAATAGATTAGTTTGTGTCTCTAAGTTTATTACATATTTCAAGTGGCAGTTTTTGTTGAATACCGTCTCCTCGTGTAGTGGAAGAAAGAGTGAGAGTTACAGGGCTTCAGATTCCCTGGAACAGGCTGATCCCCTTTTGTCAGAAGGACCCGCCTCAAACAAAGGAAGGGGAGAAAAAGTATTTTCCTCACATTTTTCATGAGTCTGTAATCTGTCCTCTCGTTGCTTCACAAGAACTCTGATATTTGCAGGTAGTTTTCCACTGTAATGGAGAATTTTGTTCTTTCTGACTGCAGAACTTCCTTATGGATGGGAAAAAATAGAAGACCCTCAATATGGAACATACTATGTTGAGTAAGTGCTAATTATTAATTTGATATAAATTGAGCAGAAAATAGTGAAGTGGTTGTTGTGCAGCCTGGACCGGCTGGGTGCAGCCTGTTGAACGGAGGCAGCGGAGGAGCCGGAGCGGCGGCGGCCGCAGGGCGCGGGCTGCCGGGGCGCTGGGCTGTGGGCAGGCCCACGGGGGACAGACCTGCGGGCCTGCATTTCCTCTGGGGAGGGAAAGCGAGTAGCAACCGCAGTAATTTATTAATGGGAATGAGCTGATGTCATTTTTCTTAGCTTTAACAAAAATGGGGTCACTTGATTTAAGAGTGGCACCTGGTAACTGTAAAAGAGCAAAAATAACTTCTATGTCATTGTGGTCTCCGAAGAGCCGAGTAAATAACTTCTGAATTGCTGCAGGAGCTCTTCTGAATCCCCTTCAGGTCAGAGTACATGCAGTCTCTAACCACAGAGAAGAAAATTAGAAATGTTAGCCACAGAGAACAAGCTGACATTTTTTGACTTTGCAAAGCCGACGGGTATTTAAATTCTGCTCAGACTTACTGCTCTTTTCCACTCTGCTGTAATACTCCAGCATCCACGGGTAAAAAGGTGATGTCTGAGTTTGTAAACATTATAGGTGGATGGAAGCAAGGCGTAGAGTCAAGAGAAAAAGCAGGTTTTCTCAGTTCTAAACTGTTAGAGCCTTTTGAAAATGTGCAGAGTGGAATGAGGGTTTGCGCTGCCTAGGAAGTACAGGAAGTGAAGTAGTATTGGCTCTTGAAGTAAATCAGGTTGTTGAAAGAACAGAAATGCTTTCAGTGTTGATTACAGTAGCTTATTGTTCATTCCTCCAGAGTATTAATCTCGGGTAATAAAAAAATTAGTATTTGTAGGTGTATCTCTTGTGGGTGTCTTCTCTGCGGAAGAGGCAGAATGCTGTCTGCTGAAATCCTGTCTCCCTTTTGTGTGTCTACAGTCACATTAACCAGAAAACTCAGTTTGAAAACCCAGTATTGGAAGCCAAAAGAAAAAAACAGCTGGGACAGAGTGATGTTGGCCCTTCAAAGTCAGGTATGACTGAATATTGGGTTCTTTGTCACTAATATCTTTATCTGCAGGTGTCTGCACCGTAAGTAACCAATTTTGGAGCTCACCGAGGCATTAGCCTTGTCCTCCTGCTGGCCATTGTGCTGCCCTCCCGCATCTGTAGGGAGGGTCTTTTGGATGACTTCTTTAATGTTTAAATTGAACCAAGACTCTAAGACTGCTTCAGAATCATGGTGATGGTTCTGAACCTGGTTGTCAGAAGCAGCTTTTGGGTGTATGGAGAAGAGTATATGGGTATATGAAGAAGCAGCTTTTGGGTATATGGTTAGAAGAGCTGGCTGGAAGATGCAGGTAAAACCACACCTTGAATTTTTATGCTTTTGATCTGCTTTAAGCTTGGTATTCAGGGGTTGTAGTTTAAATCTGGGAATTATAGGTGGGAGCTTTAGTTCCAGCCCCGTTGTCATCTGTGCCTGTGGTCTTGAAAAAAACTTTTCCACGCACTTAACTCAGCTGTGAAATGAGTGTAACTGTGTCTTTTGCTTTAGTCCATAACGGTGCTGCAAGGGTTAACCAGGGTTAACAAAACAAATCATTAACCTTTGACAAAAAACAAACAAGCAAGCAAAAAGTTTACCAGAACTAACCCTGGTCTCCACCTTCATGTCTCTTTTTTCCACAATTCAAAAGCACCCGAGAAGTCTGTCTTCACTAGAGATCCATCCCAGCTTACAGGAGCGCTTATACGGACGTCGCTGAAAAAAAGTACAATGGGATTTGGCTTTACAATCATTGGAGGGGACAGACCTGATGAGTTTCTCCAGGTGAAGAATGTCTTAAAAGACGGACCTGCCGCACAGGATGGGAGAATTGCACCAGGTCAAGTATCGCCTCTCTAAAATCCCATTTCCTGTGGCGCTCTCGGAGAGCGCAGCTCTGCGGCACCGGAGGTCGGGTGACCCCATCTGCTGACTCTGAACACCTCGCTCCCTGAAGTAGTTTTCAGATTTGTGAACGATCTGCACAGAGCAGTGGCTGAAAAGGGGAAGAAGCGGCATTCTAGGTAGAAAATCTACTTTGAGGACAGCACTGGAGATTTCAGTCGTTCTGCCTTAGCTAAGACTTTTGGCCTCATCGTTGTTTACAGAATGGGGTTTGTTCCCTCTCCATACGTAAAGTAAAACCAGCGTGTGTGAATCCTGGTCTGTGTTTTGCCTTGTTGCTGCCCAAAAACATGACACCAAATATTAAAATTGCAAAAAATCCTGCAGCAGGAATGAGCAAGCAAAGCCGTATGAGCTGGCTGAGTGAGGGGATGAGGGGCGAGCGTACCTGCAGTCCCCGAAGCACCGACGCCTCCTCGTTGGTGTTTGCCGTAACAGAGGGTTTATGCACTAGAAAAGGCAAAATGTTCTTTACGTATTGCATAAACTCTCTTTAGACAGGAGTAACACGAGTTCATGCTTTCAGTTATTTAATACTATTTACTCACGAATGAAACAATTTCCTGTTTGGTTGCTGACCCGCTGTTCGCACGCGGCTCGTGTTCCTCCTCCGTGAAGCGAGGCGGCCCTGCAGCCGCCCGTGTGGCATGCACACGTGTCTGAACGAAGAGATGTGCGTCTGTTTCTGGGGTAGCTCCTAAGAGTTACTGGTTTACTGGTGCCCAGGCATTTAGGTGATAAGATGGTTTGCTTGTTGGGAATATTGTCCTTCACATGCGGAGTTTCACGATGGAAATGCCGCACGGTGCGCAGCCTGCTTCCACTTCGGCTTGAAAATACACACTCGGCCGTGTGTGGCAACAGTGAGAGAGCACAGAACGTGTGTGGGTGCAATCCTAGCTTCAGTTCAGCTGGTCCTGAAATAAACCCAGGACACACACTCCCCCCAAAATCCGATTGATTCTGGACAGAGTTTAGGATGCTGTACGATATGAATTAAAGTAGAAGACATCTGCTGGCAGTGGTGTGCGTGCTCTGCTTCATCTCCTGGGGCTGTACAGTATCATTTTGTAAATCTGCTGCAGATTAAACTTTATATATTTAGCACACTGTGTTCTGTGATGGAATAGAATAAATGCAAAGAGGAAATCCTTTACACTTTTTGGCAACAGATAGCCCAGGGGTAATAGCCCGGCCACCACTTGTTCCTAGTTTTGAAGAGTGCCCAGTGCTTTCCTCCAGTTGGGCTTCTGTGCCGAGGCTCGGGACACGGGACAGGTGCGGATGGTTTTGGTTCTGGTTTTGACGCTGTTGAACTTTCTTTTGTAACAGGTGATGTCATCGTGGACATAAATGGAAGTTGTGTCCTTGGCCATACCCACGCAGATGTTGTCCAGATGTTTCAGCTAGTTCCTGTCAATCAGTACGTGAACATGACTCTGTGTCGCGGGTATCCTCTTCCTGACGACAACGAGGACCCTGTGGTAGATATAGTGACAGCTACACCTATTGTCAACGGGCCGCCCGTGACCAAAGATGTTTGTGTGAGCAGCCAGGATTTAATGGCAGGAACGGTTGTGTTGGACCAGAATGGAAAAATGGGCCCTATGTTGGTCAACGGTCGACTGAACGGCCCTTCCCTGGAGGCAGCCGAGCAGAGGATCTCCCTGGCGTCCTCGGGGGGCTCCCAGCCGGAGCTGGTCACCATTCCCCTGGTCAAGGGTCCCAAAGGCTTCGGCTTCGCCATCGCCGACAGCCCCACGGGACAGAAGGTGAAGATGATTTTAGACAGCCAGTGGTGCCAGGGCCTGCAGAAGGGGGACGTAATCAAGGAGATTTGCCACCAGAACGTCCAGAGCTTGACCCACCTGCAGGTGGTGGAAGTGCTGAAGCAGTTCCCAGTAGGAGCAGAGGTGCCGCTGCTTATCCTAAGAGGAGGTGCGTAGTACGTCAATTTGCACTTGTCGTATCTGCTTATTTGCTTTTTTAAAGTCCCTTTTAGTGTGGTATCTAAATCGTGTCCAGCCTTGACAGCTTAGCAGCTTATTATCTCTGAACCCTTATGTTCTAAGTTTAATTTATACCCCTGAGGGTTTGGGGTGAGAGCGTGTTGCTAGGGGTTTGTTTTTTCAGAAATTGTGTTATGGCATGTTGATGCACTGTCTCCTCCAAGTGTCTGGGGAGTGCCTCAGCACAAGTGTGGTCTCCAGCGTAATCCAAAGCCTGTGATGGACGGAGGTTTCTGAGCCTCGCCAGGTGTGTTCCAGTAACCGTCGCTGTAATGGTCAGGGGGTAACGGGAGGCAGGGGGAAGGATCGGCAGCGAGGTGGAGCCAATCACTGGAAATGCTACAAAAATTCTCATTTTTGTATTTGCATTTTTATACCCCTCCTCTGACTGGCAGTCACAGACCGGTGTGTCTTCCCCCCAGAAGCTGGCCGGCAGGTTGTGTGCGCTGGCCGGGGGGAGCTGAATGAATTATGAAGCACCACGTGGCTGCTTAGTGTCCCTGGAAGGTTTATTGTAGCCCTGAGAGCGTCACTTCGAACAGCCATTGGCCTTTGTAAAAATCTCCAGGTCATCTTCTGCGTAAATGCGGCTATTCCTTAATCAGCGAAGGAAATAATTAGATTTCTTTGTTGTCAAGTGAAATTCCTCCAGACAAGTTCAGAGTCCCCGTATCCAGTGAGCCCAGTGAACGGGGCTGACCTGCGGGGAGAGGAATGGGGCTTTTTCGTTGTTGTGCGGGTAGCAACTCCAATTTGAGACGACTCCGAAGTGACAGTTTTGGTCAACTGAACATTCACTTTCCCATTTTGAAGAAGAGTGAATAAACAGTTGCTGTTTTCAGCCCAGGAGGAGCTGATTGTGTTGCCTTAATGCTGTTTAACCTTTTGGTGACCCAGCACTGAAATTGCTTTCTGCATTGTCTGTCTTCAGGTCCACCCTCGCCCACTAAAACTGCCAAAGGGGTGAGTATCACTGACGCGTTTAGATTTGTTTCTGATAGAGAATATTCAGGGCTTTTTGGTTACAAAACAGACTCATCAACGTGGTCTGCTTAACACGAAAGATTCCTTTGAGTTTTTTGAGTAGTTTTAGTGGAGGTGGCAAATATCTCTTCTTACTACTGAGGAATCAAGAGGGCAGCAAAGATCTCGTATGACGAGGGGAGCATCATTGTTGATTTATCAGGGTTTTAAAGATGATATTGCCCCTTCAGTTCTATTGTGCTTTCCTTTTTTGCACTATGCTGGAAATCGCTGTCTGTGTGCATGCTTTGAGCTGCTTTTGTAATCTCATCTCCTCTGGGTTTTAGTTCCTGTAATAATCTGCAAGATGATTTAGCAAAACCACGTCTACTTGCCTGGCACAAATTCATTGTATTAAGTAACTGCTGTCAGAAGACCCATTAAAAGGGAAACAAAATACAGTATCTATTTTTTTTCCATTGCTAATTACCTGTGTTAAAGTGGAATGGGATTCTAAAGGAATTTTATCATACTTCAATATTTTTCAGTCCTTGCGTAGAATTAATGGACTGGTTAGCACTCCCTGCCTAAAATGCTTGCCTATCTTTGAATCCGTGTTTTCAGGAAGTCTTTATGTAGTGGTACATTTCTAGTTTGATACTCATTATTTTTGGAAGTTCCATCTGTTGGGGTATCTTTAATACCTATTAGCTTAGTAAAGAATTCTTTGGCTTAATAAAATACGCTCTGATTTGATAATGCCGATAGCGATGCATGTTGACATCATGAGCCGTGCTTTTATGATTAGGTCACTCGTGAACAGAGCTGTTTGTCGTAGAGGACAAATAATTCCATTTTAGGAAAACCCCATTACTGGGATGTGGCTGTAGCCCCTCTCTCTGTCCTGTAGTTGGAGTGTTGAGGTCGCATCCCAGTGGTGGGGTAACGCGAGTGCGCAGGGTCGTGCTCTTGAAGCCGACTGTGCTCAGGGGATCTGCGGATGCAGCTCCTTGCAGGAGCCTTGTCGCCGCAGGTCCCGTGCCCCCGCGCTCCGTGGGGACGGCGCTGCGGAGCCGGGGACGGGCGTCCACGGAGCACTCGAGGTTCGGTGGCGTTAGGCAGCGTGGCCAAACAATTCAGTTAGAAAGGGCAAGTTCTTGTGTTTAGAAACACGCCAGATGTGTCAGACTGTAAATCCCTTGCGGGGGGGTTCTTCCACTCCTGGTAAAAGGGTGGATCTAAGTCTTTGCTGCTTGTGCTTCTGTGTAACGTGCTCGGGCACATGCAGGCTGCTGTGTTCCAGCTTTCCGGGTTGGGTTTCAGCCCAGAATAAGTATGCAGAGTTATTTAGTGTGTAATCGATTGGAAATAGAGGTGGGAAACCGCAAGAACGCTGGGTGTCCTTCCGCTACGAATGCTGGCGGGCGCTGAGAGGAAGGTGCAGGTGCCGCGTTCCAGCGCCGCGTCCCTCCTGCCCCGTCTCTGCCGCCGGCAGCACGCGGCTGGGCACGAGGCAGCGCCCGCGGGGCAGCTCCCGCCTGTGCTGGTGGCCCACGGGCCGAGGAATCGGTCCCTTCTCCGAC